GTGAAACAGAGGGGGGGTGGGACCCGGCTTCTCCCGGGCAGTGCGCTGGGCTCAATTCCAGGCTCCTGCTATCTGTGTAACCTCAGCAGGTTAGTCTCGCTGCTTGTCAGTTTCCTCATCTCTGGAAGGACTATGGTGTTATCCACCTCTCGAGGTTACCCGGGGAATACGGAATATCTACATAGAGCCTATGCCAGTGCCTGGAACATGGGTAGAACTTCAGTTTTTAGTCATGACTTAACTAGTAATTTACTCAGTTACTAGCAGTTACCCCGACTCATGACGGCGCTAAACCTTGGGTAATGAGTCAGGCTTGGAAGGTCCAGGGACCCCAGGGGCTGCTCTCTCAGTTCTTGTCTTTGCGAGGAAAGATCAACATCAAGATTAGAGTTACCAAAAAGCAAGTAGTTTATTGATATGTAGGAGGATGGCAGGAAAGCTCTCTGAGCAGAGAGGCGTCCTGAGTGGGTAGCCGCTGAGGGGAAAGGGAGCAGGTGTTCATGGGTACAGTGGGCAAGGAACGGGGTTTGGCCATGGGGCGTCTCCACGTTGTGTCTCTGGCTGATTGGCTCTGGCCTGTGGGCTCTCCTAGGCTACTGGGACCCACTGGGTTTTCTCACATTACCTGGCCTGCCTTCCGGAACCACGTCGGGCCCGCTGCTTTAGCATTGTGTTACTGTCTTGGTGATCAGGGCATTCCATTTTTAATTGGGTTGGGGGCACTCTTGGCCACACGATGGTTTCTCAGTCAGACCAATAATGAACTTAGGGCACCTGGGCTTAGAGGGTGCCCTCCTGGTTCCAACCAATTGTTCCTTATTCAGACTGACAAATGATCTTGGGACACATGGGCTGAGGGTTTGGGACATCCTGTTCCTAACTTCTTCATTCAGTAATATGCCAGGGGATAAAGTCTAGAATAAATCAGAGCAAAGAAAACTGGGCAAGAAGATTTATCTTGGGCCTCCCTGGTGGCCTAGGGGTTAAGTCTCAGTGCTATCACTGCTATAGCCTGAGTTCGATCCCCTCCCAGGTAGCTGACCCACGTGCCATATCAGGCCTCTTCTGTTTCACCCACTACTCCCCTCAGCAGTGTATTTCAGTAAATCTGCCTATCCTGCTCCCTACTTTTTCTGGTGAATCCTCACCTCCCATACCTCTGGTGCCTACACCCCAGTTCTTCTATGCAAAAATGAAAAAAAAAAAAAGATTTATCTCAGGGCAAAGAGGATTCTGAGTAATTGTCTCTATTAATGTTGCCATAGAACTAAATTCAGAAGGACAGGTACATTTGCCCAAGAGGGCAGAAGCCTAACTCGCATGTAGCGCAAGGTCATGAGAGTGGACTGTTTCCTTCATGGAGTTATGGTGCAGCTTCCATGAAGCCTGGCACATAGTAGGTCCTTGATAAATGACAGCCATTGCTTGCACTTATTTTATGTTCTGGGATATATCTGCAGACCTAGGGAGAGTGTGTGTCCTTTTGTTTCCAAGTCAACACATTTCGATTCCTTTAAAGTCAATCTTTGGAGTGTCTGTCAGCTAATTATTGCAACCGTGATGCTATGTGTCAGATCACCCCTGAACTCAGTGGCTTGAACCAACAAGTATCTGTCCTCTTTGTGTCTGCAGGCTGGCTGGGGGGAGGCTGATCCCAACTAAGCTTGGTCTAGGTGGGTTCCATGTGTCTCCCTGGAGCATGGTCTTGTGGTGACAGCAAACACGCAAGAAGTCATGCTCAATCATACCAACACAGTTCAAGTTTCTGCTTATGTCATATCTGCTAACCCCACAATGGGTAAAGCAAGTTAAGTGGTTAAGCCCAACTTCACCAAGGATGGGGAAGCAAATTCCGCAAAGATCTGCCGAGTCACGTGACCAGAGGGTGTGACAGTAGGGAGTGGTGAAGAAAAACGGGCTACTCATTGAGTCTACCTAGTTCCCCATTCCACTTCCCCAATTTAGTCATCACCATAGGTGATATGAAAAAGCTTTCCTTGCTTTAGGCAGTTCTGCGGTGCCTGGTACCTGCATTAAGATTCTAAAAGCACAACGTTGTAGCATCTGAGCACGTTGCAAATTCCCCTTTGGCCTCCGGGAGCCTTTCCTCTGACAGACAGGAATTTACTCTACTGTAAACCAAAGAGTCCCAATTTAGACAGACACGATGGATTAGGCAGACAGCATCATTGACCCGGTTCCACTTCGTTAGCCTTTCCAATTAAGGAGGATGTTGCTGCAAGTGAGACCTCACAGATATATATATATATATATATATATATATATATATATATTCATACCTTGAATTCCCTGGGCTGAACCTGTGGAGGCCAATTCTTACATTTCCGATGAGCACAGAGGGAGGGGAGCAAAATTGTGTTGGCATGTGAAAGCTAAGTGTTAATGCTGTGACCACTGGCGGGTATGTATCTTCTTCCCAGCTAGTCAATTAGCATGCTAAATGGATAACTTGTGTGCTTTTATCTTCCAGAAGCTTTTCAATGAATATGGCACCCCTGACCATGTACCCATAAGGTCTCCGATCTTGGAATACCAAATAGAGAGTTGTGTATCCAAGGATCACGCTCTTGGTTTTGTCAACATGGTTGACAGAGGTTTCCTGTGGTTTCCCAGGGAAGATCTTTTCCAGTGAAGGTCTTCTTAGGGGTTCAGGATAGCATTTCCTCCCCCCTCCATACTCGGGATTCTGAGCAATGAAGCATAAGTCCCAAACAATAGCTAAATGGGCTGTGAAGTACAACTTAATTAATCTGGGCATGCACCCAACACCCCAGTGCATTGCTTTGCTAGGACCTGGATTTGATAATGAGGCTCATGTTTGAGTCTGAGATGCAGTTTATTATAGTCAAAATCTACATGGCGGGATCGGAGAGACAGACACACAGGGTGACCCTGAGATGCCTTCGCGTGCCCCCCTCCCCAGGCAGCAGGCTGAGATCTGACTCACTGGACACTGCAGCCCAGGAGGAAGGCCCCGCCTCCCATGCTCACAGGTAGAGACCCTGGCAGTGCACATGAATGCCATGAGCTGGAAGTAGAGGGTCAGCTCTGCCCGCCTGTGAGAGATAAGGGAGCTGGCTGCAAGGAGCTCCGTGAGGGCTGGGTGGGTAAGGGCTGAGCCTGCTCTCTGGGGTAAAGGGACTTAAAGGAAGCCTTGCCCATCATCGCTGCCGCTGGTTACCCTGGGGAAGGAGCTAGTAAGCATTTGAAGAGAAAGACGAACTATTTCCTTCAGGGCCTCTCTGAGAGCAGCTATGTGCTGAGGCTGCAATGTGGGGAGCGGGGGAGAAATGGGCCCTCCATTTTCTGGGTGTGAGGAACATTCAGTGCCGGGGAGGAACGTGAACATGCTGGTGTGATGTTCTCTTGGCAACTCCATTCGAACTGTACCCTTGGAGACATGCTGGGAATTGGACTCAGCACTGGAACTGGGGGAGAGGAGTCCCTCATCTGGAGTTTAAGGTCAGAACTGGCCAGAACACAGGGTCTTCCTGGCTTTCCTCCTGCTGAGCAGAGTTGGGCCTCGTGAAGGTATCACAGAGCTGTGAGCGAGAGAGTTCATGTGGGCCAGCGGTTTAGAATGTTCCCTACACTGCCCCCCCCCTTTTCATTATACTGAAGCTCAGCATGAGATCCATTCTCTTCAGACCACTTTAAGTGTACAATACAGTGTTGTTGGCGCACAGCGGACCTCTCGGTGGGTTCAACTAGCCTAATGGAAAGTTTATACTTTGAATTGTACCACCTTTTCCCGGTGTCCACCATTCTGTTCCCTGGGTCTCTAAGTGTGACTGTTCCAGATACCCTAAATAGGTAGAGTTGTGCTATCAGCACCCCATGTTCACTGTGGCATTATTCCCAGCCAAGATTTGGAAGCATCCAACGTGGTATACACAGAGGAATAAACAAAGAGAATGTAGAACATGCACACAGTGGAATATCATTCAGCCTTGAAAAAGGGCATCTTGTCATACCCACATGGATGAACTTAAACTGAGTGACATGAGCCTTTATATATAGGGAAAAATACAGCCTAATTCCTGCACTTCTTGTTCACTGCTTAGGTGATAGGCATGGGGGCTGGTGCTTATTTTGCATGGCTTCCTGGAAGCTTGAGCTGGGAACTCTTGCTTGGGTAAAACACAACTTCCAACAGAGTTTGCTTCAGGGCCCTAAAATCATGCCTGTGTTCTAGAAGAGGCAGATGAACATGTTTCTCCCCAGAATCAAGACTCCAAGATGGTTGAGTTCAGAGCCAACATAGTGCAGACAAAAATAGCCTTTATGTGTCAGGTTTCCTGTTTTCCCTGGAAACGACTTGCTGAAAATCTCTACCTCCTCCCCTTCGTCCCTTCCTCCTCTGTACCCACCCTGCCCCCACCCACAGAGTTCATGTTTAATGACCCGAGACATTACCACCAAGCCTTTCCAGTCCATTGGCTTTGTAGAGGGTGAGTGAATGGGGCTTTTCTCTGGCCTTCTCTCTCCTGAAAGGGCTCTTCCCCAGCCCATTGGATTGTGCTCCGCAAACCCGGATTTAAGGTCTTCTTTTTCTCTGTCTCCATCTCATTCTTTCCAAGATCAGACACAAATTGGTGGTCTTGCCCTGAATGAGGACTTTACATTCTTGCAGGTTTAGTTCCAGTCCTTTCATGGGCCCATCTGCTCTTTCATGTGGAGGATGTGAATGCACTGGGAAATGTTTGGCGAGGGTGCTTTGCTTATTTCTTTACACATCATCATTTTGCATAATTTCCCGGCTAGTGTCCCCTTAGGTAGCCCCTTAATGGAAAATGTGAGCCTCCCCTTAATCATCTGGGTGTGGGAGGAAGTGTTGGGGGTGGGGATTGGGCCAAGTTGCACTGATGTCTGGTGGAGTGGAGATGCTGGGGGCCCTGAGATCTGGCTGTGTCTTCAAATGATGCTGCACCGGTAGTTTTCCCCACCACTCATGTGTGTCTTCTCTTTTCTCCCCACAGGACCCACACCCGAGCCCTCTGATCTCCCTGGAGACCCAGGTCAGTACCTTCTCATGGTCTTTGTTACTTATGGCTGCACAGATGTTCCCGGACCATCTCTCCAGGGAGCATGTACAATCTCCTAGCTCTGTGGCTCAGAAAGGCTCCACAGGCACATGTGCATTCCTCCTGTCCTGTCAGGACGTGCGTGTGTGTGTGTGTGTGTGTGTGTGCACGTGCGCATGCATGTGTGCATGGACCAGCAGTTGTGTGTATGTGCATGTGTGCACCCCAATTGTCAGAAAGCACCCTAGAAAGGACCTCAGAAATTTAAGTTTTCCTCTGTCCTCAGATTCTACTGGGCAGTCTGAAGGGGAGTGTGCTGAGAGCGAGGAGGTGGGGGGAGCCGTGCAGAGAGATTTGATTGCTATTCTGTGATTGGAGAACTTTCTCTCCTTGGCTGTTAGGGCAGCAGGACCCAGCTGTCAGGGATGGAAGTTGCATCCCGTGTCTGCTTGCATCCTGGGGCTATTCTGAGGAGCCTGGATGGTATGGTGCTTGCGTGTGGGCCAAGGGACCAGTGAGTGAGAACGGCCCTTCATGCTGCTTTTTGGGGTAATCGGGAGCAGCTATGAGTCCAGTAGACCCAGGTGGATTCCCAGGTCTGCGTCTTCTGGCCCGAGAGGTCACTTAACCTCTCAACCGTGTCTTCCCATCTGGAACCTGTCTGTGAGAGGGTGTGGTGAGAATGACAAGCAGTGATGTCGCCAGAGTCAATGCTTTATACCTGTGCTTGTGAGTTTTAGCTTTTTAAAGTAGTGGGGCCATTCCATTGGTGGCTGGGCTAAGGGGAGGTGTCTTTGGACAGATCCTCCCTTGACTCTGTGGGTTGGCTGGACGATAGGAGATACTGGATGGAGCCCGTCCGGAGCGCCGTGGCTAGCAGTTTGCAGGTGTCAGAGATGGCATAGCCCCGTCTGACGGCTCCTGGGGGGTTCTGGAGCTCGCCGTGCTGCCGAGGCCCAGCAGCCTCTCATTCTTCTCACTCCTGCCTGCACCCTGGCCCGCTCCGCCACATCCCTGCCTCAGCGTTCCCAGGGGGAACAATAGGAACAAGCTTGTCCATTTTCTACTAACTTCATCAAGAAAGCCAGAAGTTTGGAGAAGGCGACTCTCAGGGTCTCTTTGTGTTTTTCTCAGGGTTCCTTGCATTTCCGGGTTGCACATGCTCCTGGGAGGGCCAGACGACAGGGCGGGCTGGAGGGAGGAGTGGGCGGGCCCCAAGGGGGGGGGTCAGGGCCTGGCCTCCCCTACCTGCTTGGCCATTCCCTGCTCTGGTTTTCCCCAGATGAATGCTGTTCACCTGCCACCTAGCCACATCTGCCATGTGACTTGCACCTGTTCTATTAAGTCACCTTAAAATACACTTTTATTTAAATTAACTTTGTTTTCTTCTAAAAGTAGATTTGTCATAAGCTAATGGTTTCCAATCAGGGATATTGTTGTCTCCCAGAGGACCTTGGGCCATGTCCGAAGACACTGGAGGGTGGGTTACTGCTGGCATCAGGTGGGTAGAGACCTGGGGAGTAGCTTGGCACGCCGTTGGGAGTTATGCTAACATAACGCGGGCAAAGTCACAAGTTCGATGGGCCAGTTATATTTTTTTGCAAAACTTTAAATATTACACTATTAAATAAGATGTCAGAGTTCCTGAAGGACCCCCGAGAATTACCTGCGTGCCCCTGCAGAGCTGCGGGCGTAGCTCATGCGTCTCCCATCCCACCCTCTGGTAGGAGAGGACTTGCAGGATGTCATGGAGGTGCCGCACCCCTCTCTGTTATCAGCTCTTCCCCAGAAACAAAACCTAGACTCAGAAAGACCCCTCCACCAGCAGACTGGCAGCAGAGTGGCTGCACCCCATGTGATTCTGTCCTCGACCCTCCTGTGCCCTCCATTACAGATACCCCCCAGCCAGCCCCCAGTGACTCCATGGGAAAGACCAGCCATAGGCTGATGGCTTTTGTGTGTGACAGTCCTCTGCACACAGTGATCTCTCTTAGGGCCACCATGAGCTCTGGGGGCTGGGCTTGGGCCTGGAGCCACAGCCAGCGTGACACGGGGCAACTTGTGCGTTTGTGCTGCACTGTTGGACAAAAACAGTCAATTTGTCTCCCACCAAGACGTGCCTCTAGACCTCAGTCTTCAGGGAGCCGTAGAAGGTTGTTGTCTTCCGAGTTTCCGTCTCCGTGTTTAAGAGACATTGGCACCTGACCAAAGTGCACATTTTCACATCTGTTGGCACAAGTCTGCGGCCAGATCTCCCTGCGTGCTGGACCTCAGCCCATGGTGGGGCTCCCCCAGGATTGCACTCAGCTGCCTGCAGGCAGGTCAGAAAAGAGCAGCAGGGAAGGGTTTTCTGTCAGAAAGGGGTAGCCCAAGTATTACCCCTGTGGCCTGAGCAAGATGGCAGAGGTGGCTGAGCTTGGAAGCGTCGGCCATGCAGAGGAAGGTTGTGCTCTGAGCCCCAAGTCAATTCCCACTTTCTATCCACCGCCCTTTGTCCCCAAGAAAGGCCTTGCCTGCTCCAGCTGAGAGCACAGGTGCCGCCAATGGGTGCTTTGTGAGTTTCGCTCACACAGCAGTGGCTCGCCTTCCCCAAGGTCCCGCCTGCAAGGACTGGCTGCCCAGCGCCCGTCCCTCCATGCAGCCCGTCTTCCTTAACGCAGGGCAGCAGCCTCACCCAGTGCCTGGGGGTCAGTCCCCATGCATCTGTTCTGAGCGGGGGTGATGGACAGTCTGTGGAGGGCTCCTCTGATGCCGCCATCAGCACGGCAGCACTTTGCATCTCTTGGCATCGACAGGATTCTCTGCTCAATGGCCAAATTAATAGAATGAGGAAGCACAGGGAGGTTTAAACCCCTGGTGTCAGCTTTCCCGTCAGCAGGCTGCCTATGGAATGTGCCAAGGTCGGCCTGGCTGGCCATGTTGAGTGCTTCCTAGTCTGCATGTACTGGTGATGCAGGAACTAGGTAACCTAAAAATGAGAAAGAAAAAAAAAAAGAAAGTGTCTGGAAGGAGTTTGAAGTGAAGTGGTGATGAGCTTGGGGACATTATCATGATTCTCACCCTCACTGACATTGACCGTTTGACAAGAGGTGACTTCTCCCTGTGACTCCTCAAGTGCCATCATTCCATAAGTGCTCTTAGGCCACCCAATTTCCAGATGCAGGGTCAGAGAGGTTAAGTAATTTACCCAAGGTCACACAGGAAGCACATGGCATTGGAGGATGATATGACATTGAATCTGTCTTTCCAAACTTTATTGTTCCAGAAAATAAATTTGCCTTGACCAGTAGAATGATTTGCTAATAGTTCAGGTGAAGCCAGAAAAGCAGGCCTATTACATGCACCAGGTCCATATGATGGACAGATGGATAGATTGATAAACAGACTGACAGATAGGTGATGCTTTGCAAAGGTAACCACACATGTGCATGGATAAATAGCTAGTTAGATGATAGGGAAGGGGGTGAAGAGGGAGAAAGGAAGCAAGAAAGCTTTGCACAGGGCCTCCCTGGTGGTGCAGGCATTAAAGACAGTGCTGTCAAGCTGCTGCCTGCCACTTGCAGCACAAGTTCAATCCCCAGGCTGGCCAGGGAGCTGGCCCACATTGTACAGCAGACCTCTCCTGCTGCTCCCCTCAGCAGTGTATTTTGGTAGATCTGCTGCTCTGCTCCCCACTCTCTCTGGTGAGTCCTCTCGCCACCTGCACCTCTGGTTTTCACCCCAGTTCTTGTATGCATAAATAAATAAATCTTTTTTTTTTTTTTTTTTAAAGAAAGCTTTGCACAGTAACTCCCTGACAGATCGCTTGCCACAAGACTTACGGGCAAAGTGGTTTAAGCAATGGACCCAATAAAAACGTACTTTAAAACAACAAAGATGAAACACCTCCCTGCACATCAGCAGTGTTTTTGATAAATTTGAATGTTCATTATTTGTCTCTTTCTTGTTGATTTCCAAGATGGCTTATCATCGCTGAATCTACTCCAACTGGCAAGGCCTCCTGTCATTTAATTTTAGTTTCTCTACCCGCCTCCCCCCATAATAGCTTCACTGCAAATTAGTTAATGGCCTCTCCTCAGACACTGAGAAGACTGGGAACTGTGATAAAGGAACTCTTCAGTAAAGACTTGTCAGTCTGGGTGTTTGTGAAGTTGGCTCTGCGTGGAGGGAGTGGACCTTGGTTTCCACTGAGGTCCCTCTCAGGACTTGAAGATCAAGGCATGAAGAGGAACTCTCCTGGCTGCCTAGCTCTCAGCAGCCAACCAAGTACTTGAGTTTCTTTGATCGACTCACTGGGGGTGTAAGCAGAGGGAGTTACATACATATTTTTTAAAGGTGATACCAAAGCCATGAGGCTTGTGAACAAAACTGTGAGGAAAATGACTGGTGGGTGGAAGAAAGTTCATGCTTTAGAAATGACACCTATGCAAATCCATTCATGCATCTGCTTATTCGGTAAACGGTGATCGGATCAGGCCCTGTGCTTGATGCTGGGACTAAGCAGTGGCGAGACGGAAGGTCGTTGCCCCCCCAGCATCCATTCTGGTTGGGGCCATCTGATAGTAAATTGACAAACGAAACACACCCCCGATTTCAGGTGGTGATAAACAACCAGAAACGAGACATGCATGTTGTAAGGAGGGTGCCTGGGTGCTTCAGGTGAGTCTGTCTGGGGAAGTCTCTCTGGAGGTGGTTTGGGGTTGAGAAATAGTTAATCTGGGGCAGCGCCCACAGTCGGCGTGTTCTGAAAGCTTTGCATATTCTATGTGGGCTCCTACAAAAATGATGCCAGTTTTCCTTAGAATCAATTACAGTGCTGCTTTCTTCATGCGCCTTCAATGCCTTTGCACCATCAGGACGTCAGGATGAATCAGGGCTCACCTTATCAGGCAGGGGTGAAGGAGAAGGGCCAAGGCAGGGGAAGGGAAGGAAAGAGGCTGAGCTTGCGAGCCATCTGGTCACCCCAACGTTCTGTTCGACCATTTTGACGGGGC